ACTACACCACATATCATTTAACGACCGCGAGCATGATAATTATGGTAGAATGAATTCGAAAGCTGAACAGCGAGCTTCGTCATAAAGAAGAAAGAGTCCCGACCAGTGGCTCGTCTATGACTTCACTCAAATACACGAAAGGAAACGAAAATTATCACGTAAACAAACAAAATTGGAATAAATAGGGAAGAATTGCATGCTAATGAGTGGGGCTAACCAGAATAAATAATACATTTCTGGATGTATAAAATATATGTATAATGTTTCACATACGAGTCCGTAATTTTGGTGTCAACTTATTAAGACTACGACCAGGGTTAGTAACCGTCACGTCCATGAATAAAGCGGATGGATATCGATGTTTCTTGGATACATGCGAATAGAAAATCGGAGAAATCAATGCGATTTACACCCATGAAACAACTTCATAGCTTCTGCCGGAATAACGTAAACCCATAAAAACGGCACGACTTCAAGACATAGCGAAGAGATATTACACGCAAAAAATCAGTCAACTTTCACGGATGAGTATATCTTGTGCATAAAGTAGTAAGTCGATAGGAAACCAATTGTACCTAAATGAAAGAAGTGATATAAGTGATGAAATGAGACTAATGAGATCTAAAAGTTGTTTGAAGACTCACCAGTCATTAAGAAAAACATGAAGACAAAAATAGCAGTGTATGAGAAGTACAATATGGTTGAAACCTGAACATAATATACGTACTAAAATTCACTTGATCTAAATTAGGCGCGGAGCAATTGCATAAGAAAACAAATCCAAGGAGCACGGTAAATATAAAGATTTTGAAATTCTACTCAATCAAAATCTTAACAAAAAACCTACCACACCAGTGATCGACAATTTACTTGTGAAGAAGCGTACACAGTAGGCAAACAAGTACACTGCAGTGAATCCACTAGTGAAAAACGAACGCCACCACCAATGATAGTCCTGAAGAAGTGACGTAAGAACAAATTTGAGGACTTGCTGTCTGCTTCAACTATTTGCGAGTAGCCGCAAGCCTCGCGAGCAAATTCGACGCTTCAACATGTGAACCCATTGAACCGACCCGAGTTCGTACAACAACTTTAAGTTTTTGTAAACCTATATTGACTAGAGCGAGTGTAATGGCCGACCTTCTACCGCAAATGCTCGCAAGAAAATTCCCTTGAAAATTTTATGGTTTTCCGCATCACAACTGATAAGTGCTCTACGGCTCGACAAAAAATGTATTGCACGTGTGAAAAAGCAGGAAAAAATTTTAAAAAAATTACTTCTGCGCAAAGATGGAAGTATGCCAGAAGAATAGTTGCTTCCGAGCACGTGATAATCAGGATCAAGAATACGACGAATAGGAAGCCGAACATATAGTAGGTTTGATGGGCCCTGAAAAACTTGAGTTCTTTCATTCACATTTTCTTTTGAGAATAAATAGTACCAGATGCTGTTAAGGATGAAGAAAAGCTGTATGAAAATGCAACCAAATGGTAAAATTCCGCCCATAAGCATTCCAGGTAACGGCTTTGTATACAACGTTTGTTCAGGAACCTGGCGAGGAATTTGATTGGTGCGAACTGGAGCTTCAATCGCCTGTAAATAGAACACGATATAGATCCAAAAAAAAGA